GACGCATGATGCGTATTAGACGCGCTGTCGTGCCTCGAACGAACTGCGAAGGGGTCAATACACACCGCTAACATATGATGCGCTTTTAAGCACCGACTGCGCGCTAAGCACGAATCATACGCCAGCATCCCACATCGACGCATTTCGCTCTTTCCGCAGTGTCCGCACCGTCTGCACCTTTCGCACGGACGCAAAGTTTGAACGCAACCTTCGTCATAGCGTATGTTCTAGGGAAACGTTTGTGCATCTGCACCTACCGAATAGATCATTAAAGCTGGAATCGGAAATAGAAGAAAGCCTATCCAAAACCAGGAATAGAAATCTAACACATGCATTTGTAATATATGATCAAAGTAGATTGTGCAAATTATCATATACTGAAAATGGCCTTATTATACTCAGCGAGGTAGAACAGTGCTTGCTGCGGAATGAAGTACTTTGTTATGGATAGTGGAAGATTTTACACTCATCTCCTAGGGAGGAGGAGGAGGGGGTATTCCAAACAGGGCATCCAAACATCGCTGGTAGGTGACAGCAAGACTAAGGTCCACGTGACCCCCTTGGAAGGCAATCCAGGAGCCGTGCGCAGCAGCACCCGTCGGAGGTTGGGTATCCAAAAGTCTGCTGGATGCAACCCCTTATTTTATACCATGAGGACTGCGTCATTGACCGGAGTAGAACGCAAAATTTTGTGGACCCAACCCGACCGGATACTGCTGCCCACGGCCGGGTGTCCCCCAAGAGGCCCGTCGCGCGGCGAAGGAAGAGACGCAGATGCGGCAAAGGACGAGTTGCAGCGCGTGCTGTGCGATATGAGACGTAGTATGGTACACTCTGCCTAAGCTGACGCCTAACTGCTACAATTCGTCCAAAAGGCGCTAGGGTCTCGCCAACAGTTTTACCCGCACGCAGCAGGGTAGTTGTCTAGTACCCTCAGAGAAACCTTGATTTGGCGTCTTCGCGGCAAATAGCGCCCTCTTAGCGAGGCTACATGGGTTCACCCTTTCCTCAGGACGCGTCCAATGGCGGCTACGGCTGCTGATTCCTTACCGTCAGGCTCGAGCCTTTTAGCAGTGAATTAAAGCAGGACATCCATGTGGTTGATGTCAGCATAGTTAGACTGTCGAGTAAGAGTACGGAAGTTGACGGGGAAAACAAGAGCCTTGCTTCGCGGGTTTCGGGGGTTCCCCTTATTCTTTCCTTCACTTTTACAAATACTGTCACACAATATTCATTTCTTATGGGTGCCCAATCCTTGGTATCAGGCAGCCTTTATCAAGAAGAGGTCTCAGGTTGTCAGCGCTTGCGGTGACCCTTTGGCGCTTGACCTCCTGGGGTCCACAGTACCGTTCCGCCCACAATTCCAGCGCCATTTCTGTCTTGAGGGCAAATTCAACGGGGTGTGATTATTTTGCTAGAAAGTGAAGGGGCAAAGGGCACTGCAAGTAAGAAAAAGGAAAATGAAGTATCAAAAACAATGAGAGCAAAGGTTCTTTTCTCGGGTAATGGAGGAGTCTACAAGACAGAGAAAGCAGACAGTTTGAGGAACTCTGTCTGCTGAGAAGAGGACAGGTTCGGGGACGAGATAGTGTAACGGACGAGAGAGACGCAGACACCTGTAGACTGCTGAATCATGACCAACAGGCTCGGCGGTCATCGGCTCCAGTGACAATCCCCTAGACTATTTTTCGCGAAATTTGGACCGCGAGAATGGCACTTCCTCTAATTCTGAGAGCAGCTCTCTCGTACCCATAAAAGGGATTGATCCATAGATCAATCGTAAATGGGCCTTAAACGCGCATATCAACTTTATGAACGGAATCAAGCAAACTCACCAGGCAACATATTGGAAGCACCACTGTCCAGTCGGCCAACGCTATTGTATTGAAAAACAGTTTCATTTTTTTCGACTCCGACTTCTGAAATTGATCCCAATGAGTAGCTTATGTTCGACTTCTGATTATAACGTAGAGTTTGCCATTGAAGCAAACCACCCGATTCGCTACAGTGACGACTTGGGGACCCTGCGACTCACGGAGGAAATTGCTTCAAAGGTGCATGAGGCGATCGACGCCTTCAAACATATAGGGAGGGGGTGAGCCGATTCGCGGATCCCTTGATAATGGGAGCTATAACACTCACAAAGGGGACCTGGCTCTATGAGAGAGGTGCGAAGGGGTAGCCGTGTTGGATGGAGTTGGTGGGTGTGTTTTCGGCCTGGGGAGTACACCTCTGGAAGCTCTCAGGAATCTGGACATTTTGCCACTGCACTATCGTATCCCTATTGCTTGACGAGCATTCACTCAAAATAAGTGAGGTGCCCGACTCTGACTGTGAGATCGTATCAACCTTTAAGGGCGAGTGGTGAGAAGGGGGGGGGGTTGCTGATCTACCTTTACGCATGTCTTATCCTGATACAAGGTGACTAACTCTTCCCTGAAAGATGATTATTCATTGTAGAATTTGACTCACCGCCACTCCGTACACCATCAGGGAAGTGTTAGAGAAAAACATACGGAATCCATAGAAGATCCCGACAACGAACAGTTCAAAAAGTACAATCGCTGCCCCGACAATAGGGAATACGACAAAATTGAACTGAGCTGTGAATATGTAACCGTTCTGAAATGGCTGATACAGTTCTGAAGTTTTAATCTAATAATACAAACACATATACTCTATGAACCTAAAGGCACATTCCGCTATGGAATAGGTATGTGTTGTTGCGCTCGAAATGAATGTAGTTGTAGTAGTAGGTTCAGCACTAATAAAATGGTATTGGAAAAACTGCTATGAATAGCTAAAGTCACAGCGCTGGTCGTATGAGAGTCCGCGCTCCGCCCCTACGAGATAAGTATGATAAAACTGAAATTAAGACATGGAACCAATCAAAGGGAATCTCGTGAGTCGCAGACGATAAACTCGCTCTTATGATCAGGTTGCAGTGTTCCTGGCGGTATTTTTGGTTTCTTTCATAATAGGTGGGTCAACCTCCACAACGACATTCATTTCGAACACAACGATACACACAACTACTCAATCGCGGACTGTGTCTTTAAGTAAACATCAACACTCACTTGGAATGAGAGTCCTAACTGCAGTAGCGCATTGAAGCAGCACACGATAATGACGAGAGAGAAGCGTGCGTTCGGATCCGCAAATGCCGTCATCGTCTCAGTGAAGGCGCTGATAATTATCTCAAGCCGGACGAGCTGTAAAACCATTGATTTGGTTGCCGAGTGGGGAGCAAAAAACTAGGTTCGGCTTCTGGGAGCGCGGAGTCACTGCACGATCAGCGACACAGTGGAAAACCACAGAGAAGCCCATAGCGGAGATAACATGTTAGCCATTTATTTTCTGACCTTGTTGGCTAAGCACATCATAGCTACGAGTGAAGAGTAGAATAATACGACGACTGTATCGTATCCCTCGAAGATTATGGAAGCGCTGAGAAGCCGTACGGTCAACGTGATCGGATTGTGATAGATGATTATATCGTCCTGGTGTCCAGCTGAAATGACACATCAGAGTGTAGTTCGCATGTGACCCAATGAGATTCCTACTTCCACTACTGCACCCAATCTGCTGTAATTCCAAACCTCATACAAGCCCTGTGCTCCAAAACTGATGTTCTCAAGAGAGTTGGGCGCAAGCTCCGCCCATCGGGTCGGACTCCGCCCATTACCGTACCCACTTCTGCCGGAGCCCTACATATTGCCGCACATGCCTAGGGCGATCGTCCACCCATCCAGTAACACGTTCCAGCTATTTTCTTTGGTCTACGTAGGTACCAAATGTGCGGTTACAAACAGACAAACACACGGACAAACAAACCATACTACTGTTTTATAGAAAAGAGGGATAGTATGCCGTTCCAATTAGTATTATGGTTTTCCGCAATCGCTTCATAATAGTTGATTTCAGTATTCACTTCTCATTCAGTCCATGTAGTCCTCTCTCCTCCGTCTGTCGCACTCCACCTTTGCACAAGCCTTCCTTGTCGATCCTTGGATCCTCCAGGTTCTCGTCTTGGATCAACATCCT